TATGTTAAGAAAGGTAGGGGTAGACCTAAAAAGACTTGGTTAGAAAATATTAGGGATGACCTTTCTTTATTAGGTTTAAATGAGAATTTGACTTTTAATAGAACACAATGGAGAAAAAGGATTCATGTAGCCGACCCCACGTAGTGGGATAAAGGCTTGATGTTGTTGTTGTTGTATAAAATTTTAATTTTTACATTATCTTGTTTAATAAATAAAATCCATTCACTGATTTTACAGCAAAAGGTATTGACATTTATTTGCCTATCCCATCCTAGATTTTAATGAATGAATCATATAGACCCCAAGGCATTTTATATTACTGTGTCTAGCATCTATTGTTGAACATGATTCCTATCCAAGAATAGTTTTAGAAATAGGATAAGTATGAATGTCCGACAGTTGTCCAAATGATATGTTTAATGTAAATTATGAAGGGAGAGATTGAAAGAAAGAAGAATTCAAGACATTAAAAAAATGTTTCATAATAAAAAAAAAATCAAATGTATCAAAGATGGATTAATACCAATATTTTTTGATGTTTAGAGCTTGTATGCATTCATTTGAATAATTATTTAGTAATTAATTTCCTGGGTATTGGTTTTTAGAAATATTTAGGAATGTATAATTGCATTATCAATTGATTTGAATATTACATTTCTCTAATTTAAATCTTTCTTAAACTTATGATTGTTATTATTGAATTTAAATTCCCTGTAAATACTGATATGCAAATCAGACAAATGACTAATTGATGCTGAAGTATGATGTGATGCAAGTAAATATAATGTCAAAACAATTGTATACCTCCTAATGAAAACACTATAACTAACACTTAGAGGAATTGATTGTGAAAACTTAAAGTGATGTTTAGGTTCCACAAATTGTTTTCTAATAATTGACAAACTGTACACATGTTTATTATTTGGATGGATGAACCTCTATAAAGAAGTGTAAAATTTACTCATCATGAATTATGTAGTCAACCATATGGAAATTTAAACATTTTCTTTATTGTGGGCATCATGAATAAATTCTTTGAGATATTGACTCAATTTTACTGAATACATGAGGTTCTTTTAATAAATATAAGTTTGATTCATGGAGATAATTTATTAGAAGTTGCTATTGAATCCATATTTATCCGGTGGATGATACTTGACTTTACTAGTAGATCTGTCTTGTGAGAATGGAGAGTAGAGAGAGTAGAGAAAATAGAGAGGAGGAGAGTAAACTAGCAGAATATCTCAATAAAAAAATACAAGGACTCAATAAGCTCAAAAGATCTTGAGAATGTCTAAGGAAAAAAGATTCAAGAGTGTAAAAGTTCCAAACTGTACTCCATCACCCTTTATTTATAGGGTTTTGAGGGCTATAGGAAAGGCTATATGGAGAAAAGTAGAAAAGGCAAGTACAGTGAATACCCATAAAATACTACACGCTAATTTATGACACGTATTGCCTCTTGATTGGTTGCAAGAGGTTGAAGTCACTGGTCGGGCAAGTTGTTTGTAGTCGTGTGAGCTCAAGAGAGGTGAGTAGGTGTAAGGTGAGTGTATGGGTGAGTCGTAAGATGAGATGGAATTGTGGTCGATGAATCATCTTATTAGGTCGTCGATTGGTGTAGGAAGAGAATTCAATCATATATGATTTTGTGGATGTGTTGTTGTTATGCTTCAGTGGAGATGATACTACAATTTTTATAATAATAAATGGATCGTGAGGAGTCCTAATAAAGTAATTATAATATCTCTAAATCTATAGATTTTTTTTTTTAAATCTATAGAGTTATTTTATAAAATGCACTGACACTTTTCCTTAAAGAGGCGTTCAGTGTCTAACACTTGTAAGACATGCCTCTAACACGTGTCAGATATGCCGAGAATGTCTCTGATAAAAAATAATGCACTAACACTTCTCCTCAAATAGGCGTTCAGTGTCCGTGTAAGACATGCCTTCGACACGTGTCAGACATGCCGAGAGTGTCTATGATTAAAAAAAATATTAAATAAAAATTGGACACATGTATTTTAAATATTTTTTGAATTTTTTTTAAAATATAATTCCTTGTATTTAAAATATAAAAACTATTTTTTTTTTCTATTAACAACACCAAAATTCAATCATTTATGATTTTGTGGATGTGTGGTTGTTATGCTTCAGTGGAGATGATACTACAATTTTTATAATAATAAATGGATCATGAGGAGTCCTAATAAAGTAATTATAATATCACTTAATCTATAGAGTTTTTTTTTAATCTATAGATTATTTTATATAATGCACTGACACTTCTCCTCAAAGAGGCGTTCAGTGTCTAACACTTGTAAGACATGCCTCTAACACGTGTCGGATATGCCGAGAGTGTCTCTGATAAAAAATAATGCACTAACACTTCTCCTCAAATAGGCGTTCAGTGTCCGTGTAAGACATGCCTTCGACACGTGTCAGACATGCCAAGAGCGTCTATGATTAAAAAAATATTAAATAAAAATTGGACACATGTATTTTAAGTATTTTTTGAATTTTTTTAAAATAAAATTCCTTGTATTTAAAATATAAAAACTAATTTTTTTTTTCTATTCACAACACCAAATTAACCGCCCGCATTCAATCCCCAAGTCATTGAATATTCTTATTTTTATTTCTCTTTGGTGGGTCGCGACTTTGGTTTCACAACAATGCTCGATATCATTTCAACATTGATGTATGATGTCATTACAATATCGACATTTTAAAATCATCTCAACTTCAAAATTATGACAGTGTCTTGACATTGATGCTCGATGCTAGCAATTTTTACACCCACAAGTTGACAGCTCATTTTTGTTCGACGTCATCTTAACATATACGACCAATGCCCCCTCAACATTGATGATGAACGCCTCTTGGCATCGATGCACGATACTTACTACATAATATCGATGTCCGACTCTCGACAACATTGTTGTCTCCTCTCTCGATGCCTGATATACCACATCGACGTCAGCTCTAGTCATCATAATATTAGTCATTTGAGTTATTAATTCTAATTTTTTTTAATATTATATTTATTCAATTTTTGTACATTATTTTTAAAATATAAAAAATATAATAGCATGTTCAACCCGTTTATGTGTCATATATTTACAATAATATATATAAGCCATGTCCATGTCTCCGTGTTGTGTTGTATCCATGTCGCCGTGTCGTGTCTTTGCATCATAGGTTATGTTTAAGGTCTCATTTAATATCTTTAAAAAATTATTGTTTAATTCATGCTAATAGTTTATTGCCAAAGGCCTTTAATGAAATATGTTGTGATACCAAGAATTCCATAGCTAAATAACTTTTTAAAAAAATTTGTTTAAACATAGTGTATTATCCAAAGACACTATTGTCGCCTCTTTTAGATTTGCTAAATTGATAGTTGATACTTATAATAACAAATTGATAAAAGTTCTTTAAGTTTTATGTCTAATATCAACCCATGAAGATTTTGCAGCAATTAATTAAAAAAAAGAACATATTCCAGCAGCCTTGTTTTAGCAAATTTAACTCCTTGGGAATTACTCATGTGATAAATTTAAAAGGAAATCTTTTACATTCTCTATCTATTTTGAATATCGCTCAAAATATTGCCTCTTATTGAATATGAAAATATAATTCCAAATGGTCTTAATGAATTTTGTTTTAATTGCATTTTTTGTTGTTTGGTTAATTGACCCATATATTATCTTCTACATTTAATTGGTAGGATGAGTGACTTTACTCTTAAAGACATAGTAAAGACAATATGAAACGAGTATATATGTGAAAATGTTGGAGTACTCCTGTGAAAAATAAGATTATAAGAGAGTTGCCTTAGATGATTTGGACATTAAAACGTTTGCCTTCCAATGACATGGTTAGGAGATTAGATGTATTGGTCATATGTTAAGAAAAATAGAGGTAGACTTAAAATGATTTGATTAGAAAATATTAGAAATGATTTTTTTATTAAATTTAAATGAGAATTTAACTCTTAATAGGATACAATGGATAAAAAGGATTTATGTAACCGACCCCATGAAGTGGGATGAGGGCTTAATATTGTTGTTGTATGATGTATTCATAAGCTTCATACCAAATTTTTTGCAAGAAGTTTTAAGGTCAACGGTTTCCTAATGTAGATATAGGATGGATGTATAAAATATCTATCTGCTTGCTTTCGTTCCCTACTTTCAAATACTTTCATGAGATGAACATATTATACTTTGGGTTTGGATTTACTCGTGCAATCCCTGCATGTATGGGTACGATCGTTTTCCTTTCAACCAGCCATTGGAGGCACTTGTTCACAATAATGGTAAAACACCCAACAAAAAAAAAGCTTGCACCAATTGATTTGCGTTTAATCATAGTAATTTTTCCTGGTGTGTTAGATGTTATGAAATTAATAATACTTGGTTAGATCTTTTAGAACATCGATATTTCTGTTTTCTTTAAGCTGGTTTAAATCGGGTTGAGTCCTTAAGCTCAATGCTTAAGCTAAAGTACATGCGACACAAAAATTACTCTTAGTGTAGAGCTGAATCTGACTCATTCTTTCATTTTATGATTACAGCATACAGTATGGAGAATATGCATCATCTTGGTCTTTAGTGGATCTTATGATCATGGATTTCATCATATAGTAAATTCCTTAATAGGGATATGATAGGATTGAGCTTGATGGTTTTTTGGGCTGGCTGAAATTTGGGATGAACAACATCATTTACATTTTGAGAAATAAAGAATGCAGTGAGTCTATGCTTTCTGTTAAATTCTACTTGTGTCATCAAGCGGTACTCTAGTATAGCCTTGTTCCAGTGAAAATGTTAATGCATTTGTTGTGTTTTCTATGTTTAATTTGTTCTGGACCACAAACATTTCTGACCTTAACAGTTGCGGTTTTGATGTTATTATTGTTTTTTTTTTTATGTTATTATTGTTGCTGCTGCTGTTACAGTAGTTTTGTAATTAATATTTGGTATTGTAAACAGGTGCGGAGAGGTGCTGACAGAGCAGAGATATACAGCCTCGCCTTTTCTGTTAACATGCAGTGGTTAGTAGTTTCCAGTGACAAAGGAACAATACATGTATTCAACCTCAAGGTTAATTTGGGTTTAACAGCAAATGATAAGCCGCGTCCTGCACCTGAACCAAATGTTCCTGCTGTGAGTTCGTCACTATCTTTCATTAAGGGTAGGATTCCTTCATATTGTAATTTGTATATTGCTTGTGTAGTACCTCTTTTCTTCAGAGGCAGATAGTTGACCTGCCAACATTATTGTTTCTTTGTTTTTGTTTTTTTTGTTCGTTTTTCTGCTTTCAATATGCCGTTGTTTGGAGATGTATCAGAATTATTTTCTCTCATGATTTGAACACATGAGTTTATTTTACAGAATCATTCAAGAGAGATTGGAAAATGAACATACTTTTTAACATTTGCCTCTAGATTGATGTCCTAACTAGTTAACGTTGTGTTTATCTATTTATTTTTCAAGCCTCCCGGAAACAAATTTTTCCTACATTAATTAACTGCTTGATGTGCTATTTCCTTGTCGTGTGCAAGAGATCAATTAAAGGAAAAACCAGATAATCTTTTGTTGAATCAGACTATACGATGTTTTTCTTATAAATGCTCAGCCAGTGCCCATATTGGCTACCATGGTTTTATCATCTTTGAATTGTTGTATGTTCTGTTGTTTGTCTGATTTTCATGCACAGCTAATATACCGATTTCATGTGGGAATGGGTTTGGGAGCAATGTTGACTCAGACCTTAACAATGAATCAGTATGTGGAACTTATAATATGGAAATTTTATTTGGTTTTCTTGCTGTAACTTAAATGTAACTAAGGGCTAAGTTTGATATTTAACATTCTACTTGATCTGACTAAATTTGGTTTGTGGGAGTGTTTTTCATAATTTTAGTAAATTAAGGGTAATTGTGTAAATTAGCTTAGTGGAATTACACTTTGTTTTGGTAAAACTAACCACATGACATCCCTGTAGTGCTGATAGATTAGTTTGGTATACCAATAATAAGATATATTAATAAAAATATTGAGGGTGGTATGCTAGATGCAACCCCTAGATGTTTGTTCTCTTTTTTTTTTTCCATTTTTGGCTTGTTTTCTATTTGGAGATTTATTCCTTATGGCTTTATACACTGGGATTTGTCGAGATCCAGCTGCTAGCTAATACAACCATAACTTTTTTTTGCAGGTGTTTTGCCCAAATATTTCCATTCAGAATGGTCCGTAGCCCAATTTAGATTGCCCGAAGGTAGCCAATATATTGTTGCTTTTGGCCATCAGAAGAACACTATTGTCATTCTTGGCATGGATGGAAGGTTGGTATATGCCATTCTTTTTCTGTTTTTTGTCACCAGAGGCTTGATTTGTAGCCCTCTGCATCATTGATCATTATGCTTGACATTTGGTTGAGATAAAACAAATTTTGAGTCTATAACACTTTCATCATACCCTTTTAAGTTTCATTAATCATCTTGCATGACGGTTTGTAGAAATGAAACAAATTTCTAGCTTTTAATTCTGTTATTATACTCATTTAGGATTCCATGTTAATGCCCTTTCTAGCTATAAGGAAAATAATGCATATTTTACATTTTCTTCTTGGTTTCTGTAGCTTCTACCGATGCGAGTATGACCCTGTATCAGGTGGGGAAATGAAGCAGTTAGAATGCTACAACTTCTTGAGACCTGATCAAAACATTTAGCTGCTAATGGCATGGTGAGACTCCCCCTCTCGCTTCTGTTGACGGTACTTCTGGTTTTTTATATTTTAAAACTTAATAAGTCTGTAAATATTCCTAGTGGTCTGTAAATACCAAAGACATTTTCCCACCACATTTGCCAAAAGACTTTGTGTTTGTATATTTATCTTTGCCTTCATTTTTTTCTTTACCTAATTCCTCCATGAAACTAAATTTGTAGTTGCCGAATTGCTTGATTTCTTGTGTATCATTTGGTGCTTTCTTTGGTAATACTCAAAGGCAGCAAAATTAGTCATTTTTATTGATTATTTTCTTAGAACATTTGAGATCTAGGTCAATAATATAATATTAAAAATGAAATTTTTATGTTTTAAGTATTGTATAAATAAAATCGCAAGACTCCACTCACCTAAGGACACCCACCGAGAAGTGACCATCTTGGGGCAGGCCTCAAAGACAACCCATAAATTAATATGGGCTTTTCAGTAAAGGGAAGGATGGAAGTGACCACGCACTAGCCGTTTCGTGTCACGCTGCCTCACAGCCACCTCTAGCTCGAGTCCAGTTCTGCTTGTATGTTTCATTTTCATAATCTCGTTGCTATTTCGATGTTATTGAATTGTATAATCTCTTAAACGCAAAAACTGACCATTTCAGTAACATAATTTGGATCAGATTCTCATGACATATTGTATGTTATTATCACTAACTAAAACCAGCTTGCATGTTAATTTCTCACGGAGAATATTAGCTTGCTAAAATAGTTTTAAATTATTATTATTATTATTCTCTTCAAATCAAGCTTACATAACTTGCATATTGTCTATGAGCAGAGAAAAAAATCTTTCATTGTGTCAAGGTAATTTTGTGGCATTATATTCTTTCGCTTCAAAGCGTCTCCATGTTGGCTTGCACGTTGGTTTTGAGTAAAAGAGAATCATGCGGTTTCTTGTTGAAGTAATTTCTAACCGATGGTTTTCCTATTGGGTTGAGCTGATTATATGGGAGACCACTGATTTTAATGGAAAAATTGCGTATGTTGGAGTATATTTTTGGACTACTTTTCGTTTCAAGTTGATTTCTGCATTTTGCAAGTAAAGTTTAAACGAAGGTAAATAGTTGTATTTGCTTGAACTTAATTTCAACATTCTATTCGATTAGTTTTTAGTGGATTCTTATATTTATGTCAACCTTAATGAAAGAATGCCATCAGGGGTGGATCCCGTTTCAAAGTGGGCAAAATTTTAATTAATTAGATAAATATAACAATAGGAATAAAAATAAAATAAAATAAAATAAAATAATAATAACAACATCATCAAATAGTAATAACAATAAAATAATTTTTTATGAAAATTTAATCAATATAATACTATCAAATTTATAAGAGGAATTTTTTATCATTTATTTGCGAAGAGGAAATGTTCGAAGCTTCGATGGATGGACGAAAAATGCGAGATAGGTCATATTAGTAGAAAAATTTATTTTGAGGGGGCATAATTCTAAAATTACCCTCTTATCCATTTTTTTTTAAGGATGGGCATTTACATTAGTAGAGATCAGCCCATGAATACCATGCATTTGCTGGAATTTAATTCCAGCGCATGTTTTATTTGTTTTAAGTGAATTTGCAAGGTTAATTTTAGTTGGAAAGTTTGTTCGTTTGCTCGAATTTAATTCTTGAATGTGTTTTGTCTAGTATGTACAGTTCATATGCTAATTAAGATGTATGAAAATTTCTATTCTTTGCTGAAATTTTATCTTCAACGAGCGGAAGTCCGTCGAATTTGGTGTCATTGGGTTATTATTTTTTTAACGCTTAGTTCGATTTTTAGTTTGCTAGAATTGGAGTTCATATTGTCTCCGATTTAATCTTTGAAGTTTCCAACTTATGTTTTCGTCGAGATTCATGCCCGATCACGATAATTTTTTGATGATATATCACTTGCCTCCTATTTTCAGGCATCAAAGCTCCAAAAGTCTTAAAATACATGTTATAGTATTTTAGATTACTTGAATAAAAAATAATGTAAAAAAAATTTGTGTTCCAAAATTTTAAATTCATTGAATATCCATTGAGCTCCATAAGCGCCAAAATTGGATCTCGATTTGGATTGCCCCGACAAAAAAATTGAGTCCAGACTCGAATTGGCGGCCGAACCGGCAGCCGCTTATGGCAGGGTCTTTATTGACGTTGGCTGAAAGGTTGCACCCCATTAGGGGCGCGCGGTAATGAGGCGGCCGACAAGATGATGGCTGCAATTATCCTATTTTTTTTCTCAATTTGGCAGGCGTCGGCACAGTGCTGCCTGCCTCTTCTAAATTTATTTTTTTAAATAGTTAAAACTTTTTTTTTTTATTTTTAGAATTAAAAATTCCATGTTTGGGCCCAAAACATTTGTAGAAAATTATAGAATAGTTTCGAAAAAATTTAAACAAATTTGGAGACAAATTTTCACCATATTTCTAGACTTTTTCCCCCTTTTTGGTCTTTTAAATACCCCCTTTAGGGCCAGGTAAAAATTATGCATTTTCTTCTCCTCCATTCTCCCTCTAACTTTCTTACAGTTGAGGTTTTCCACTATTTTTTATAGGTGGCATCCCCTATTCTAATTTAGTGTCCCTCTCTTATGTCGAAGTTAGAACTTTTGAGAATTCCTTTTTCTTATTTGGTCTTCTTTTTTACATTGGAGACAATCCATTATCTGAGATAGGCGGCATCTCCTATCAAATTTTAGTGCCCCTCTTATATAGAAGGAAAAATTTTCTCATTCCATTCTTTTTTATTCTGGTTTTTGTTTTATATTAGAGGCATTCCACGGTCTCAGGTAGGTGACATCCCCTATCAAGCTTTAGTGCCCCTCTTTTGTCTAAAAGGAGCTTTGCTCGATGATGTTAACTTATATGGAAGAGATCGAGAGAATTCACGAAGGATGTATGACCTATCCAAGGTTGTATGTTAGAGCACTGTTCATTGATGTTAACCTATATAGAGAAGGGGCAAGAGAATCCATTAATGATGTATGACCTATCTGAGATTGTATGACAAAGCATTACTTAATGACATTAACATGTATGAAAGAGGTCGAGAGAATCCACCAATGATGTATGACTTTTTCAAGGTTATATATCAGAGTACTACTCGATGCCATTAATCTATATGGAATAGATTGAGGGAATCCACAAATGATGTATGCCATATCTAAGGTTGTATATCAGAGCACTACTCGATGATGTTAACCTATATGGAAGAGGTCGAGAGAATCCACCAAGGATGTATGCCATATTAGAGGTTATATGTCAGAACGTTGCTCGATTACATTAATCTATATGAAAGAGGTTGAGAGAATCACCAAGGATTTATGCCTATCTGAGGTTATTGTAATAGCACTACTTGATGACGTTAATTTATATGGAAGAGGTAGAGAGAATCCATCAAGGATGTATAACATATTCGAGGTTGTATGTCAGAGCGTTGCTCGATGATGTTAACATATATGGAAGAGATTGGGAGAATCCATCAAGGATATATGACCTATCCAAGGTTATATGTTAAAGCACTACTTGATAACATTAACCTATATGGAAGTGGTAGAATCGAATCCCCCTGGGATCTATTTTTCTTTGATTAGGAGGGGGTGAATGCCACATATATCTTAATTAAAATTTATAGAAAGTTCTATCTTTACACCGTTATTGCCTTTTTTTGGTCAAGATTAAGACTTTGCCAAATGAGTAGAAGTCCAACTAGGGACTGTATAAAGCTTGAAATTTATTAGAAGCATCGTTGCATTTGCTTGAAGCTTTAAGATCTCCAGATATAATCTTAGATATTGAAAGAGTTGGAGGAATCTTCTTGATCACGACTGTAATCAAGGTTGCCCCCTAGTCGACATTTAATTTCCATGAAATTGATGCAACTATAGTTGATGCATGGACTTTGACATGAACGACCTTTTGAGGTTGGATCAAAAATTGCCCCCCCCCCCCCTCCTAATTGGGGACCAGGTTCCCACAAAAGATGCCAAACTATTGCGTCCTGAAATATTTGTGGTAGTAGAGAAATATAAAGTTTAACATCTTAGCTTTGTATGAAGATGCGTCTTATAATTAGATAAGAGAGAGGTTGCAACATTCATAATAGAAACCAAGATTTATACGTGGAAAATCCTGTAAAGGGGAAAAATCATAGGGCCTTCCCCAATTTGAATGAATCAACTAGTATTTATCGTTGATTACAGATGAGGCCCTTTTTGGGGTAAGGCCTTTAGCTTGATGTAATAAATATACATCATATAGAGTGCATTACCTGGTAGGAATAGGAAAAATCACTATTGACGTGTTCATTGGTCGGAAGGACCATATTCAGTGGACAAAGGATCTCAGAAGGACTATATTTGGCGGGCAACAGAGGTCTGAAAGATTGTAGTTGGTGGGTGACGAAGGTGATAATGACCATTGTCTAGCGACGGAGATTGGAAGGGCCATAATCGACGAGCGATGGAGGTCGGAAGGAATGTTGTCGGGTGGAAGTTCCGTGCTAGTTGGCGGGTGATGAATGTCAGAAAAGACTGTAGTAGGTGGATGACAGAGGTAATAAAGAATGTTGTTAGGTGACTGAGGTCGGAAGTCCGCTGATGGATGAAAGTCTGGCGTTAGGTAGAAATTTTATGATGGACCAAAGTCCGACATCAGATAGAGGTCTAATGGAAGTTCAACAATGGGAAGAAGTTCGGTGATAGGCAGATGTCTGGCGTCGGGTAGAAGCCTTGCGTCAAGTAGAAGTTCGACTAAAGTCTGGCGACTGGAAAAAGTCTTGCGACGAGAAAAATTCTGATGTTGGGTAGAAGTCCAACAATGGACAAAAGTCTGATGTCAGGTAGAAGTCTGGCATCTGGTAGAAATCTAATGCAAATTCGGTTGCGGGCAGAAGTATGGTGTTGGGTAGAAGTACGACATTAGGTAGAAGTTGAATGAAAGTCTGACGACTTGAATAGTCCGGCGATGGGCGGAAGTCTGGCATTGTGTAGGAGTCTGGGTGGACAGAAGTTCGGTGTCAGGTAGAATTCCAGCATCGGATAGAAATACGATGCAAGTTCAGCTGCGGGCAGAAGTTTGGCGTCAGGTAGAAATCCGACGTTTGACTGATTTTTGGCATTGGTTGGTAGCCGAGAGGTGGTCAAGGAGGAGTCTTGTGGCAAGTGAACTCTTTCTTCTATTCCTTATCTTCTTGCTTTGGCCCCTCCTTGCCCCCCACCCAACAATGAAGAATAAGGGGACTATTTATAGTTTTTT